GCATTTCGAGTTTTCCTCTGATGTTGCGTGACTGTTTTAAATTGGTTCTGAATTGCTCAGAAAATTGCCTGCCGTCACCACTGCTCGCGCTGAAGACGAATATCGAGGCACGTGGTATACCTGAACCGAACCGGGCTTATATTTCGACTTCCGAATTAGAACTGTCATAGACGGACTCTGCTCACATCACTAATAACAAAGGAAGTCAATAAAACTGCTAAGAAACTGGAGCAAAGTCGACTTGCGCAGGCAGTTTTGACAGAGTCGGTATGAGCTCGATGCATTGGTCATTCGATAATGGGTCTGTTTACCTCGCGCTGGAGTCGTCAAACGTCGATTGCCAATGCTATTGCTTCTTGCCAGGTTTGGCGTGTGTGTGACCACCCGCAAAAGACAAACTGGGAGCAAAATATAGCATTTTCAATACATTGATGGTATGTAACACATCGTAATTCATAACATCACCAACATATCATGGGCTTGCAGTGAGCACTGGACATTCGTCCTTCAAATCCCCACTGCACTGGGTTGCCCCGTCACGCCCGACTGCCTCCCCCGATCGGCCGCCTGGGCAGCCGACTGTGCCGCCAAGCACAGCTGCGCTGCGGCACAGCATGCTCGGAGACGTGCAGGCGGCGGCTGCGCCTCAGACGGTGTATACGATGCGTAGGCGATAGCCGGCGATCAAACGTTCTTCAAAGCAATGGAAAATGGATATCTGTCCATTTCCAAAATTATAACACTAAAGTAGTCAGCGTGAACATATTTGCATTAGAATGGCCTTTGCATATAGCCATACAATTTCTACTAACAACTATAATACAAGTGACTAATATCTGTGCGATAGATTCAAAATGACCTAAACGGACCCAACGCGCTCCAGATAATGAGCTCTGATTGACTCCATTATTTGCATGGTATGTCTTGATGAGTTACTGTTCTACAACTATCGTCCCTCCCACGCCTAAATCACGGAGCGATGATACGACCGCGATCATTCGCTGCCATTCACCTGTCACACGAACACAATCCGGCGCGTGGCGTGTCCTATCTATTTCTGCGCTCGGCAACTCAGCCGGGTTTGGGAACACACGTGCCGCTGGCAGCGACACATCCACCGTGGCAGCCAGCAGCTGCTCAATAGTCGTCATTGGTCGCCCGAGCCAGGTATTGAGCGACGGACGGAGTTTTTTGTCGTCGTCCCTGACACGGAGCCGGCTCCGGTGACGTCCAGAAAAGAGGTGCCCGAGTGACATGTCGCTGCCTCGTAGCGCATTATTCGAGTACCGTTGCACGGATGTGACGTAAGTCGATAAGCGCACGGTGTAAAAAGCCGCCGCAATCGCTGTATTCAGGTGGGACGTTCTGTTGTTCCCTGATGTTCCGCTACACGGGCGATTCTATTCACAAACGCTGTAAATACCTCGCAAACAGCGGGAGCCCGTACGTCAGCAGTTGCAGTGATACTGGAGCGATGCGGCTGCGGCTTGTGCAGTCAAATGAACGGCATTCTGCACTGTTGCATAACTTGTCCACTTTCCATTGAAGATGAACTTTATCCTCGACAAATGTAATAGTAAAGTCAGTGTTGGCGAAAATAATTCATTGAAGTATTTTTGATAAAATAATGATACGGAGCCCACGCGTTGCTTTGGATTGCATAAGCCATTATGCATGTCAATAGTTGTTACAATATCCCTAGCACGTTGGCAGACTTTTAAACGATTTGAGCGATTTAAACTTCCTTCATCTCTTCTATTTTTCTCATTCTCCTGTCCGCATTTTGCTGTTCTCTCGGTCGCAGCCTGCGTCTCCTGCCGAAACATTTCTGTCCGCCGGTTTTGTGAGGTCCGCCTTTGATCACCGACGGCATGTGTCGGCAGGTTCCCGGAACGAAACCGGTTCTAATGAGCGCTGCGAGGTCACGGGGAGCGGCAGTCTCGGGTGTCACCAGACGTCACAGGGACATGTGGGATGGGAGAGAGAGAGAGAGAGAACGAGGAAGGGAGGGAGGGAGGGAGGGAGAGGCGTCGCACTGGCGTGTGTCGGTGGAAGAGCGTGCCCATGTTTTGATTAGGCTAGTTTGTGCTCGATTCCGTAGAGAAGCTGTACTCATGCGGAGAAATAAACCTCATTAATGGTTTCAGCGTTACATTTGTTTGCTTTCTGTGTATTTCTTAGCGCTTAGTGACAACCTTAAAGTTTGTTTTATCTTCTTGTACGGATTGACAAAGACGGTGCATCATAAACAAGTTTTTCATTCATTGCGGTTCCTTGCATGCATCAATAATGCATGCATACTAATTGCAATTGATATGCATCATTTTGTTATATAAAATAGTTGGATGCATGCTATATGAATAATCGTGATAATAGTTACTGGCATTATCCTTCAAATCATGGCTCCACTAAAAAAGTGCGGATATTCGATTGAGACCCCACAAGCTCACTGTCACACGCGCTGCATTGTCACCTAACCTCCCGCCGGCACCTGTGTCGGACTCCGCACACAGCTCCGGTGACGTCAGCTCTCAGGTGCGCCCCGCTACCCCCCCCCCCCCTTACCCCTCCTCCCCCCAGGGATCGGTGGCATCTGGTGACGTCACCACACGCGCGCCCTGAGCGCCGTCACCTTACCGGTAATTACAGCCCCGGCCGTGGGCAGCGGCGGCAGCAGGCGAGGTCAGACGCCGCAGCCTGGCAACCGATGACGCATTGACATGGTGCATAGGCGATTCCGAGTAGCTATTAATGCCAGAGAGGTCAAGAAACTCAAGCAGAGGATATATGAGTGATGAGATAGGCGCGTGGAGAGTGGGATGAGTGGTATAAGTTTGTTGGTTAGTCTGTGTAAGACGCATATACATTGACAGGTAATGAATATCATGCCATAAAAGTTGTTGTGAAGAAAGCTTCGATTAGGATTGATATTGGTATATGCAAATGTATATTGCACATTTGAGTCGGTAATTGAATCGGAATTAGAATCATTCAAATTTCATTTCATATGAAATAACTTGAGTGATTTTTTTTCAGTCGTGTCTTCAATTGCCGCCAAGGAGGCAAGCTATGCACACACAAAAAGTTATAGCTATTACGGTCACCGTCTAGAAAGCAGTTATAATCGCACCAGTTTATATATTTCAAGTAGTTGTCACAGTCCCATTAAATACGCATGTCTCCCATTAGCTGCTACTGGTGCATTCGCAATGCTTCATTTTTCACAGTTATGTGCAAAAGAAAAGAAACAACGTTCCCTGAACTTACCTTTTCTTGATGAGTCATTAACATCCCACTTGCTTTGACAACAGACAAAAAAAAATATGTTACCACACATGTCAAAAGCTTCAGGAAGTAACCCATTCTGAGCGCTGAAGCTGCTCAATTCGTGTACCGGAACTGCCTAATAATCTGAAACTTGTCTCCTATCACCGTCCATTGCTCTCCCCGCCCCACCTCCGTGCCCCACTCCCCTCCCCTGCTCCCTTGTCGCGGTGGCCCGCCCACACCCCTCTGCTCCTCAGCGTTGCAGCCGCTCCGGCTGGCACACGTGTGCGTGTCGCCATTTTGTCGGCGGCCCGGCGGCCCGGTGGGCTGACCTTGCAGAGTGTTGACCCCGCGGTCGGCCGACTGCCGCCGAGCCGAGCCCAGCCGAGCCGCGGCCATGTTGATCAGCCCACTGCAGCCTGCAACCGGCAGACAGGTGTCCCCGGGAGGGGAGGGCAACAAAATGGGGGAGGGTGGGGCGCACTGGGGAGTGTCCTGTGTCCATGGGAGTGAATGAGTCACCTCTTTGTTGCATGCAGGAGCAGAAATGGTCTTGCTTTGTGACGGATCTTGCAACGCGGCTTTCAATGCATCAGAAAGCATTAATACAATATATCGGCGAGATTTCCTTCTCATTGACAATGGTTTGTGTCATGATGGATGTCAATTGATCTAATATCAGCAATTAATGTGACATGATCTATCATATTGCACGACAGCCACATGGAAATACGAATGAAGGCTGGTTGTCAACGCCTTCCCGGTAGGCATAATGGACTTTGTATTTATGGAACAGTAACAAATGCATTTTGAACACAACAGGAACAGGTGCATTATCTAGCGTGTGAATTTTCAGCTTTTTCATCAGTCTTTGCAATATTTCTAAGTAGCATAATAATGTCATACATTGTTCTCGCCTTTGAATCGGTTTCTTTTTTCCTAGGGAATCTCAGACAACTCACTTTTTCAACGCAATCAGTTGGGGGTATCCGACGCTGAAAACCGTGAGTGACCAGAGGCTGCAGCTTTGCCAAAGAATGAGGCAGCAATGTAAAATCACTCGACACGTTCTTTGCGTGCTTATAAGCGGACTGCAGACGATTAAAAGTGGGTTTAAAACGTATCATTTTTTTTTCAATTTGCATGTGCTGTTGATTGAAACAGCTCATGCATTTATGGAACACTATTCTAACCTAAAAGCTATTTCTTGCATCTAGGTGTGAAGGACCAAGACGTTTCTGTTGTGAACTCTAAATTGTGTTATGTTCTGGCGATAAAAGTCATAGTTCTCTGAATTTATTATAAGCAAGTGATCAGCAGCAAACCACTTGATTGACAATATAATGACTATACGCCCCAAAAGTCCTTAGAGTACCCCGTTCAATTATAGATTCTTCTATTATCGAATTTTTACGGTGGCCCTAAGAGGAAAGAAAGGCGAAAATGGTGAAAAGGAATATGTGATAATATTGGTTTTATTTGGCTGAAAATTGTATTGTTCATGCAGCTCTGTCCGCCATTTTCCATCGCTCTGATCAGTTCCTGGTACTGCCGAGTGCGTGCGGCCGCTGGCCGCCATTTTGCGCGTGTGGAGCTGTGCAGCGCGTGTGTCATCGCTGGGTGTGCGGCGCGTGGCCTGCGGCGGGGTCAGCGTCCGTCGGCCACGCGCCGCGCTCAGGTGGCCGCCGCTCGTGGCGCCGATAGGGCCCAGAGTCGCCGGCGACGGCGGCCGAGTGACTACCGGGCGCCGGCGGCAGCACGGCCTCAGTCCCGCCGACCAGCCCGAGCTGACAACACGCCTACCGGCCGAGCGGACCGACCGACCGACGGACACACCGGGCCATCGGTCAGCCAGCTGAGTCAGAGAGTCCGAGTCAGAGCCGAGTCAGCCGAGTCATGTCGCTGTCAACGCTGCTAGTGGCGGGCGCAGTGCCATTCGCGGGTCGCGGCGGCGGCCTGCAGGAGCCGCAGTTGGTGCGCGACCAGCTGGTGTCGCAGCTGGGCCGGGAGATCGTCTCCGCCTTCCGGATGGTGTCTGGAGGGTCGCCGGGGTCCTCCGCCGCCAGCAGCCGGCGCTCCTCCACCGGTAGGTGGGGGCAGAACGGGACTCAATGGCACGGATAGTTTGTTATAAAATATAATGTTTTGGTACAGCGCTTCAATACTTCAATACAATTCATACTTTGAATGTGATTTGTCAACATGCAATACCAATTCTTTTGATGTGATATTAGTAGCTTTGAGTGATGCCACGACAGCTTCGTTATACTGACTGATGAAGTGTAACAAGACATGACACTTTTTATCTGGGACAACGCACAGCATGCATATGCACTGACCCATTGGTCGTTATTTAGCTGCATATTCGAATCGGTTTACGATATCATAAATTTTCCTTTCAAGACCAACAGGGGACGGCTATTGCAAACAAAACATCGCCCCTAAATAGCACAATGGTCGGAAAACTTGTGAATATGTTCGAACATAGACTCATATATATCATACGCTGCCCATCGCTAGCTCCCCCCCCCCCCCTCCCCACATACACACGCCACCGCCCAGTCGTGACCCCTCGGCTGACCATGACCTCTCCCTTCTTCACAGACGCCTCGGTACAGGTGGACGACGAGCCCAGCCAGTGCGGCCGTCCCCTGCCCGACATCATCCGCAGCAGCCTCCCCACCGACAGCGCTCCCATGTCGGCCCGACAGTCGGCCGACAGGCCGTGCGGCCGCTGCCGGGGCCGGCCGACAGCCGCCCCGGCCCCCGGCGCGGCCCCCGGCTCCGACCGCGGCCCCGGCGCCGGGCTGGCCCCGCCGGCCGGCCCGGCGCCGGTCCCGGCGGCCGGCGCGGAGGACCAGGCGCGGCCGCGAGCCTACACGGACAGCGCGGCCGTGCGCAGCGTGTGCCACTGTCTGCGGAACAAGGTGCACCAGGTGTCGGAGGAGTTCGAGGCGCTGCTGCTGAAGCGGCTGGCCGAGCTGGAGGGCCGCGAGGACCGCCAGCAGGACGTGCTCCGCCAGACAGGCGCGCTGCTGCGACAGATCGCCGACGACCTGCAGCACAAACTCAGCCAGGTGAGAGCACATTATAATTCTGGACACCATATATAGATATTTAACAGTCTTACTCAGAGCTATAGAGAATAGTTGACATTTCCACTGTTTGGAAAAAATGTCCATTTTCCAAGGACGCTACTGAACCACACTTACGATTTACACCTAGCTATCAAAAGCTAACTTTCAGGGTCGATTCCTTGTCACCCGACATCAAATTAGATGAGCCTTTGAATTTCAGCCGTGTTGAAATTGGGTCGTAGTTGCATAGGCCTGATCATCGGAGCGGAAATCAATGTGACGTTTCCGGCTGCTTAGCATTCCAACGGAGAAACGCGGGCGCCTCCGACATTTCCCTAATTTAGAACGTCTCAACCGGATTATCTGAACTATGATGATGAAATTTGTGGAGTTATGCGAGCGCCGCCTGGGAGCTCAAGCAAATAATTAGACGGAGAGCAGCTCTGTATTGACCAAGGCGCTCCCGGCGCGCTACGCTTTCTATGAAATCAAGGTAACTGTAATTATGAGCATGATCCGCCAAGTTCCTGGTCGGAAACTTGCTCAAAGCTTGTCTACCGGGTGTGTGCCAAGTTAATTTTCATCATCTGTTTTATAAGAAAACTTCTGGAGCGGAAAATGCGATAAAGAAACTTTCCGAGCAGGCGAGTGATACTGGAGTGGACGCTTCCGACCAGCCCCACTCCAAACATGAGTCGTGGTCGGAGAGTTGATAACAGAGAGTAAGAAAAGGGTGGAATATTTCTGAAGCTGATGTTCTAGTCATGTAACTGCTTTCAAATCAATCAATGCCTTTTTGCGCAAACTGCATATTCAAAGCAATAAAACTGAAAGGCATATAACACATCCCGAGCCTTCTAAGTTGCACCAGTTGATGTATGCAGCTAAAAACAAATTACCACAGAAACAAAATATTTTGTGAGATTTCAAGCAGTCTTTTTCAAAATGTAGCTAATGAAGTACCCTCCTGGCGTTTTACTACTTCTTCACGACAATCGTAACATGCAAAGTGCTCACACTATCAGTGACATTTATGGCGTCTGCTACATTTATGGCGCGCACCTGGCGGCGGCGGCGCGTGGCGTAGTGCGGCGTCTGCACGCGCCATTAGCGTCGCTGCTGTCAGCGGCACTTTTTGTCAGCGCCGTCCGCTGATTACGAACAGACAGCGAAATCGATGGCGGAAACCACTGCCTCAGCGCGGCGCGTGCGGCCACCGGTCGTGTGGCGACCGCCGCGAGCCCTCTGACCGAGCTCTGGGTCAGTCGGTGGAATCGATGGTGCTCACTGGTCCGAGCGCACGGTACAATCGATCAGTCCCGGGTGAAAATAGATCAGGTGGCCAGGTTCGAGCAGCTCCGGTGGTGATTGATGGCGCTGTAGGATGATGAATGGATGCTGTACTGGAGTGGAGGCTGACGGGTGGTCTCTGTTGTTTCAGGAGAGGAAGGAGCCGACCGGCGCTGCTGAGGCCCCGGTGGCGGCCGCCCTGGAGCGGCTGACCGGTCAGGTCACCCTGGAGAGCTGCCTGTGGACCGGCATCGCCGTCCACATCTGCGTCACCCTGGCGCAGAAACTGCCGTAAGGTGTCCCCAAGGAGAATCCTGCAGGAGTTGGAACACCCGACACCGGGAGGATACCTGCTGTGCCAACCTACCCTGGCACCTCAGCGGGGATTGCATGTCACTTGAATGACAGCAGTGACAGTCTGACAGCTGGCATTGAGCGAGCTGTCACCTCCTGTCACGAATGACAGTCGCTGTCGCCGGCCTTTGCCGATCGCGGAGGACTGACTGAATGTTCGTCTTGCCAAGACAACTAATGAAACTGCCATCAAGTCTCAAGCTGGTGCCACCTCAACAAATTGAAGTTCTAAGTGGAAGAAAACCACTAAGTATCCACCATCGGCAAGCCGAATTCATCAGCAGTCATCAAGAGAACCAGCAATACGAGACAAAAATCACGGCCACAAACTAAAATGGCCAGATCATGACCAGCTAATCGGACTGCCAAGTCTTTCAGGGTGCGGCGTTTCAGCTGCACTCTCAGAACTTTAAGTGACATTGGTGTTCTCATTGCTAGAGACAGTGAGACGCATAAGTGTACCTTCATTTATGGAGTGTACACTGTGACCTCGCGCATGAGATTTGGGAATGCGGCCTAACATTGAAGTGGCATGTTTTGATACCTGATGTAGCGAGCGGCAGCGTAAAGCTGCGCACATATTTGTAAGCTTGCTCGTAGCTTTTTGAGAGTCGATAAGCGTATTTTTGTGAGTATCGAGCAAATGGATAGGCTTGATGTATCATTACTTCATATTCGCTGGGAATGTCTAGTCTTCACGTAGAATTGTAGATTGTAATAAGAGTCGACGACTGCGGTCGTGTGGTGTGGAAGAAAGGGGCTGGATTTGTAGATTGTCACGTCCTTTAGACATCACATATTTATTATTTATATATTTATTGTTTTGTGTACACATGCAGAGCAGGGTACCGAGAGTCCTTCCATTCCTAGTCATATTTTATTTAATTACAGTCATAAGTGATCTCATTTCGTGTGAATGAAGATTGGTTGTGATGTCATAGTCTGCCAGAGTTTTTGTCTCAGTTACAATTGAAAACAGCAGCAGCAGAGCTCATCATTTTCAAACAGAATGTCTTGACAGACATGTCAAAACACAATGTCTTTCAGTCACCAGTATTAGTCCGCAGGCGTCTATGCTGACTGGTGTGAGACTGGATATCAAAACTGTAGTTTGAGCGGTGTGCCACTGAATGTTGCTGTGATTGCTATCCATAGCGATAAGGCTGACGTCGACCCGCGCTCGGCGGTCACATAATAAGCTCTTCACTCTGCTGTGATACCGTACAATGCGAGACGGAGAGCGTCAGCGTCTAGGGACGTTCCTTTGCGTGTCGTCCCGTAGTTTTCGGACGTAGCGGCGTGTCGCCTCTGTAGCTGCTCGCTCGTTGGGTGTGTGGGTCCTGCGGCAGTGTGTCGCCCCAGGATATGACTGCAGTCTCACGGTGTCTTTCGGTGTAAGCCCGCTCTGCACTGCACTAGGAGGGTGGCCTGTGTGGTAGCTCCCTCTTCCCGTGTACGCGAGTGTGACGACGGCATTCATAAATACAATGTCGCTTTGATGTCACTAGACATGAATGTTTTTCTATGGAGGATCTTAACCGCAAAGAGAGAAGTGACTGTGAGAAGATCTGATCATATCGTTCATGAATCAAAAGAATGAATCTCTAAAAGATTGCTACTGCTAGTAACCACTTTTGCCAGTAGTTTCATTAAAATAAATGTTTATTTTTTACGAATAAGCCAGTCAGTTCTCTACTTTTTTATAATTCGGAAAAAGTCAGGTAATACAAACGTTGAATGACAATAAAATTGTGCGGAAAAAGAACGACACGATAAAGCCGATTTATTATGATGCTAGGTATACGAAGCCACACGGTATACATACATAAACATGATGCTTTAGTCATTCAGAAAAAAATACTACATAAAAGGGATTCAAGGTCTTGTAGGTGTTTAAAATGCTGGCATCAATACATAATTACAATATCACAGCCAACATCTCCTCATAGTATCACTTATTGCAAATCCATCTCTAGGTCCTAGGTTGAGTTCATTTAGCCTTTGGACACGTTTCTGCGTGTACCCGATCAATATCCCTGCAATGTCGCGCGCTGCGCCGGGACTGCAGGGCCTCTCTGACGCAGGAGCGCCGCCCGCCGCGCGGCCGCTCCGTCTAATGTCATTAACAGGACCTCCTTGCGTATGCAGAACGGAGGGACGCGCCGCCTGCAGTGGAGTTCACAGAGGATCCGCGGACGGAAGCCGCGCAAAGTCGGGCCAGAGAGAGAGAGGGAGAGAGAGAGAGAGAGAGAGAGAGAGAGAGAGAGAGAGAGAGAAAGAGAGAGAGAGAGAGAGAGAGAGAGAGAGAGAGAGAGAGAGAGAGAGAGAGAGAGAGAGAGAGAGAGAGAGAGAGAATGGCGGGAAGGGAAACGAATTTCATAGACAAGGCAAAAGGCTGCATGGTGCACATTGATGTAGTGCGTTCAAGCAATATTTATGAATCATTTTGTTATATTAGCAATGGACATTGAACATGAACGAAATTCTAGCTGATAGTTAAAGGGGCTATCCCACCTTCAAAAAAGTACCATTTAGGATTCGGAAATGTTACTCATGATATTGTGACGAATTCTGCAAGTTTTTACGCGTTTTCATTGTATACTTTTTGAGATATTGCGACTTTTATATTTCATCGTGACGTCATTTAGATCGGATCTGTGACGTAATGAAGGATTTACTTCATGTCAATGTGGGGAAAATTTGGCAGCAAATATAGGTATTTGCTCTCAAATATGACGCGGCTCATACAATAACTAGTGTCTCTGATTAGCTTATTCGTAAATCAAGTGAAACTTCACATGCGTGACAGGCGTTCAAAATGCAAATGACGTCATCAAATGGCCGTTAATAGTTAAAGGAAACAGTCCACTTTCCTGAAATCAGTATTTTGCTATTGATTTATGATTTTTTATGCTCAAAATAATCATGAAATAAAATAAAACCTTTTTGTAAAAACAATTATTTTCTTTATTTTAATATAGGGCGAACTATATTCTATGTAAAATAATGTTTGACGCGGAAGCTTATTACGCATTGACCAATCATATTGCGTAGCTCAAACCTACGAATACTGCATTGGCTGTAAGCAGCACGCTGATTGGCTGACGATGACGTGGCTGCATTGCTGTGCAAGGCACGCATTCCTCTACAAGGCACTCTTTTCGGAACGAGAAATGGAATTTCTTCGTCTAGGGTGATCGTTGAGCCGTAAAAGCTCCTGATTTGTGCTAGTCTCAGCTCAAGCTACGAAACTGCTATTCCAGCTCAAAACCCCATGTTAAAAGTGAACTATTTCCTTTAAGAGATAGGGCCTTGGCTAAGGCCCACTTTTCAAATGAAGGGAACGAATTTCTTTAACACCCCGCGAAACTGAGGATATTGCGACCAGGATATATAGTGGTTTCTGAACCTGGCCGCCAACTTGGCTATCTCAACTCAGAACTAATGCAAAGGTGGGACAGTCCCTTTAACTGAGCTCGTGCTCAAGAAGCCTAGTAGGTAATCGCATATAAAGCAAAGAACACAAAATGAATGAAAATAAGAAATGTTTGTTTTGATGTGAGTTAGTTCACGTAGAAACAGTGTCCTTATTCTCGCCTTTTGTCTCGCTTTATCTTACACAGCCAAGTCCAACATGTGAAAACTAAAATATGCGAGAGACTGTTTTAGCCCCGGCCAGAAAGATTTCGTGCCATTCTGCCCGTAATTCTGCAGGGGTAGACAAATAAACCGAACCGACAATCGTTTGAAACTTCCAAGTAGCTACAAATGACCTCCTAAATATCTGGCGAGCACCACCACTTTAACTGTTGCCGGATCGCAGAATCAGGAGTCCAATATCAGTCCTGCATCTGTTGAGACACAAATGCCACTTTATCCCCGGGCCTACACTATTATCTACGGTCATTTGATACGGTTGTATATTTTTAGCGCACTATAAAGAGTCGTCTTGGAGCGTCTCCCTCCTCCGCCATTAGCCGCTGCTGCTGTCCGGCTCTCCCCGATCGGCCGTCCAGGGGTCCGCGAGGGACGCCAGCACGCGATAAATAGGCCGATTCGGGCCGTAGCAGACCGCAATCGGCATCGCGCGCGGTCCCATTCGGCACGGCTCGTTCGCTTTTACGGCAATTGTCGGCGGTTGCGCGCTGACCACCGGGAGTGATTCTCATCTCCGGGGGCCGCTCAGACGCGGCGCAGGCCGTCCCGCGCGCCGCAAACGTCTTCCCCTCTCGGTCGGCCGCGCCGTGAACGTCTCCCCGGCGGGGGGCCGGTGGCGGCGCACCGAATGGCTCGGAAGGGCCGGCCGGTCGAGCCGCGGCCTGGCACCGCCCGCGACGATCCAGTGATTCGTCATTGTCGACAGCGGCTTGGACAATGGTGGCGACCGTATTTATGTCGTCCGGTGATAGCTCCTGGGCTCCCGGGCCGGGCCGAGCGCCGGCAGAGCGAACGTCCGCACCCGGTGGAGTTCTTATCGGCCGGGCCGCTCCCCGGATGTCCGTAGTCCGAGCGAGACGCTTTGTCGAGAAACGCGAAACCCGCGCGGAGACCCTCGCGAAAAAGCTGAGTGAGGTCCGGCTCTGGCCAAATGGTCCGCGGTGACCTTCGGAATACAAAAGGTGTTTTGGGAGACGATACCGACCGGGCGGCGCTGCATTATGGATGAAATGATGACTGACCTTGGCGGCCACTGCTGGTGCAGCGTTTCTCCTCTGCTTTGTAACCGTTTCCAGAACATTTTCCTCCAATGTTCCCTCCTGCCACCGTTTGCCTACGAACGAAGCCGGGTATCTATCAGGTTCCACATCGTCGACCATTGAGATTCAGAACGCACGTCAAAGCATTACTGAAAACGGCATGCTGAAAGCTCTTCCATGTAAATGCTGTCGAAAATGGTCTACAAAGTCGGACATAAACCGCGGCTGGCGGTGTGAAACGGCACGGCTGCCGACGGAGTGACGGACGAACGGTCAATACGGGGCTGTCAGCCGGAGATATGACGGTGACGGAAAGGTATAGGTAAGGTGAGATATATGTATATGGTGGGAGCAACGGAATGGTACGGTGAGCTCCTTATGGTGGCAGTGACGGAATGGCATGTGTGGGATTCGTATAGTGGGAGTGACGGAATGGTGTGGTGGGAGTCGTATAGTGGGAGTAACGGAATGGTAACTGTGAGCTCTTCACGGCGAAATATTCCAAAGTTTGAATAGTCAAGCAGACATGCGCATGGATCCGAGTGATGGATCTATGATCTCAGTGGATCTCAAAGCAAACTGCAGGCTCGGATCTATGATCCCACCGGATCCGGCGTGAAAAATGTATCCTGGATCTATGATCTCTCAGGATCTGATGATAAACCAAGAACATGGATCTATGATCTGAGTGGATCCCACCATGCACAACATTTTAAACCAAGTTTGCAAGTGTTTCTATGTCAATAAGTGCCATAAAACTATGGCTTATGATGTGCTATCACATAAATCACTAAATAAGAACGTTTGTGAGTTGCAACGAGCGATTTTTTTGGGATTTCTGTGTTGACAATAAATAAATGAGGATCTATGATCTCAATGGATCTCAAGCAAAAATATAAGACTCGGATCTATGATCCCTACGGATCTGTCGATAAATTTAAGAACTGGATCTATGATCCCGACGGATCCGAGATCAGGATCCGTGGGAGCAGATCCCAGATCCATTTTTTCGGATCCACGCACATGTCTGTAGTCAAGTACTTAACAGTACACTACAAAATAGGAAGGCTTTTTAGTGAATCTGTAACATAAATAATTGCTGGCCTTACCTGGACTTCTCGGCTGTCAGCTGCAAAGAGAACGAGCTCTAGAATCAGTTAAATCATAATGGATTTGGGTGCAAAATGGAAAAGATCGCCTAACAATGAAAAAAATGATAAATAAACTTTTAGCTCATTGCAAATGTCGAAACATACCGACATTATCGGCTCCATCTGACACGAATCCCTAAAACCCCTGCCAGTCCCCAATGAGCCATATCCGACCATTGAATACATCACATCAGAAACACACACGGCCGAATCCCATGATCCTGTCGGCTGTCACAACATTCGCGGAAAGTCCACACGACTGGCACGTGACTGGCCACGGGTGCCGGGAGCGGGTCAATAGGGCACGCGCTCTGACATTTACATACAAATGAGACACCGCCCACTCGGCGACTCGGCCGGCGCCGTCGACAAAAGAAGCCGAACTAAATGCGAGCCGGCCGCAGCGACAATAGTAAATTGAATCTAAATTGGCCGCCTTTGAGAGCTGCGTCGCAGTCGTCACAGGGCGGCGCTGATCGCCGCAGATAGCGTCCCACTCGGCGCCTCTAATTCCGCCTCAGGCAAATATACAGGAGCTGGTGGGACAAACCCAAACACCGTGCTCCGTCGGCGCCGACGACTGTACAGTCGGCGTCGACAGCTGTGTGGCTGGGTTTTTGCCGGACGTAGGTGGGTCCCGAGCTGACAGGAGACAGCCTGT